CGGGCACACGGGCAGGAAAATGCGGGGGGGGGGGGAAGCGTGGCTGTTTGCCCCGGGGCAAAATAACGCGTGGTTGTGCCAGCAGACGTACCGTGGAGGTCCCATGGAGGTCCCGTGGTAGGGGGGAGGTGCCAAGCACACCACAATCCTGCGCCGCGGCAAAGAAGTGGTGCGGCACGGCAAACGGGTGTTTTTTCCTCCGGACACCAAAGTGTGTGCATGCCCCGCTGGGTGCTCGTGCACATCCCATGGACAGTTGGAAAAAAACCAAAAAACTTTATACGAGGGGGCATGGGCGGGCGCCGGAACTACCACCGGAAACGCGATCAGACGCCCGCCCTTGCCCCGTGGTTACCGGAAACTAGTACCTCCGAGGTACTAGTTTTTAACCGCGCATCTTCGGCGGGAAGCCTCGGGTTCACCACGGGAGCTCTACGCTTCCCAGATGTGGCGGTGAGATCGCACCCGGAAAATCCGCCTATCTTCCGTCTCTCTAGCATGCCTAATGCTCCGTGTGACCGCAGCCACAGATTGCTAACTACCAGACAATTTTGCATCAGTGTTTTAAAAGTCAAGCCCCAATGGGAGTTTCTAGAATTATAAACCCACTTCTCCTTGCATGAAGTCTTCCAAAAAGGGGGACAGCCTTCTTGTACGGATGCTTTCTGCCGGTCCCCCTTTTTGGAACCCTAACTGGAATTAATCCCCTAAACCTCTTTCTTCGGACAATAATCACTGTAAACAGACCACGTTCACAGTCCATTCATTATTTCTCTCGGCTGAGGACAGATCTGTGATGCCCCCTCTCATGAGCCATGAACAGGTTTGCAAACCTCCAGGTTGGGCCCGGAGATCTCCCAGAATTACAACTGCTTAGATGACAGAGATCAGTTCCCCCGGAGAAAATGGCTGCTTTGGAGAATGGACTCTGTGGCATGATACCCAGCCGAGGTCCTTCCCCAGGCGCCACCCTCCAAATCTCCAGGCATTTCCCGACCCAGAGCTAGCCACGGCAGCTAGGGTTACCAAGCTCCAGAAGGGGCCTAGAATCCTCCTGGAATCACAACATTTCTATGGAGATTAGTTCCCCAGGGAGGAAACGGCAGCTTTGGAGAGCAGAGTCTCTGGAATCACACCCAGGCCTCCGTACCCTGCTGGTGGCCAGGGGGGACCTAGCAGCCCTATAACGCTCAGCTCCCTCCCCTCCCTGAAGTCTGCCTTCCCTGGGCACCACACCAAATCTTAGAATCATAGAGCTGGAAGGGACCTACGGGGTCATCTACTCCAACCCCCTGTAAGGTAAAGGTAAAGGTTCCCTTGCTCGAAAGCCAGTCGAATCCGACTCTAGGGTTGCGGTGCTCGTCTCCGTTTCAAAGCCGAAGAGCCAGCGCTGTCCAAAGACATTTCCGTGGTCATGTGGCCGGCATGACTAAACACCAAGGCGCACGGAACACTGTTACCTTCCCACCGAAGTGGTGCCTATTTATCTACTTGCAATGTCTTGCTTTCGAATTGCTGGGTTGGCAGGAGCTGGAACTACAGATGGGAGCTCACTCCGTCATGCGGCACACTCAGGTCTCGAACTGCTGAACTACCGACCTTCCACAGCCTGCAGTTCAGCGTCTTAACCACTTGAGCCACCGCAGCTCCTGTACAATGCAGGAAATTCACAAATACCCCCCCCCCCACAGCCCCAGTGACCCCTGTTCCACGCCCAGAAGATGACAAAAAACCTCCAGACTGGCCTGGAGAAAAATTGCTTCCTGACCCCAAAGTGGTGACCAGCATTTCTCTGGCGGTGTAAGGAAGCGCCACGAGAACTGAGCAATGGTGCCACCCTTCCTGCCCTCCCTTCTCATGGTCTGCCTAAGCTCACAGAAGCAGCATGGCTGTCAGATGGCCATCTAGCCTCTGCTTGAAAACCTCCAAAGGAGTAGAGCCCACCACCTCCCGAGGAAGCCTGTTCCACTGAGGAACCTCTCTAACTTTCAGGAAGTTCTTCCTAATGCTTAGCCAAAATTTCAACCCGCTGGTTCTGGTCTGACCTTCTGGGGCAATAGAAAAACAACCCCACACCATCCTGAAAATATGCAGCTTAACATTACTGGTAATTCTTGAGGAATTTCCCAACCGAGAAGCAGCAGCCCTTATCAGGGGGGTGGTGTAATGGAAAGGCCAGATGGCAGGTTCTTTTCCAGGGTGATTCTAATTTGTCCAAATATGCCCGTTGAGAGACATCATGGCATGGCCATCTTGGCGAGTATAACATACTGGGTTTGACATGTGTATAGTGATCAGCTCATAGTTTATTAGTGATTTCAGCAAGTAGAAAGAAGACTGAGAATCCCTGACTGAAGCCAGGTATTTATGCATGCAAAAAGTTACACCCCAAACACACACCCACTCCCACGATAGGCTATTTACACAACATTGTTATTCCATTGGTTTACTCTAGGATTCCTGTCTCCCTACTGGTCCATTCTAGGATCCTAGTCAGCTATTGTTATGGATCCTCAAGCTCTGTCTGAATTAAGCATCAGCCGAAGTATGGTCTAGGCTCAATACATTACAGCGAGCCACATAGCCCTGGCTCCAGCGAGGGCAGCGTGAAAGGAGACAGCTTTCCTGCCATGCAGCAGAGAGGAAGGAGGGTGGCAGAAGCTTGTCCACGGTGGTGGTGGGGAGGGCAACCATGGCAACATTCCCGCAGTACTGGGGAGGGGCTGCTAAGTCTTTTTGCCTGGGACACCCAAAATCCCCCTTTGCACAACAGGCAGAAACTCAGCAGATGCAACTTTCACCATTGTTTCCTTTTTTTCTGCTGGGGAAAAGCTGGCTCTCTGTGGGTTTTCTGCCTGATACGATGACAAAATAAAAGCCCTGGCAGTAAAATGTGGAAACCTTACTGCTCTCAAATGAATTGATTTAGCACAAGGGTATTTGTTTCTGTTTTGCACTGGATTTAAAATCTTGGTGGAGAGAAAGAAAGGTGGCTGGACAAGTTTGAAGAAGTGAATATTTTTGTTTTCTGTTTAATGCTTCCTGTTTTTTCTGAGTACTCATCTCTGTCTGTTTTTTTCTCCAGAAAGTGGACGGAATCTACACAGTAAGTATCTGTCTGTATTCTTCGGACAGGAGGGGGACCGGCAGATCTAGGCATGTTTGCACTGAAACATTTCTATCCCTACTTTGTTGCTTTAAGTATTTAATTGTAACATTTGTGAATGGGTTTTTTACAATTTGAAAAAAAAGGCTGAGAGTGATGAAGACGAAGAAGAGAAGAGATTGGATTTATACCCCGCCCTTCACTACCCAAAGGAGTCTCAGAGCGGCTTACAAATTCCTTTCCCTTCCCCTCCCCACAACAGACACCCTTTGAGGTAGGTGGGGCTGAGAGACCTCTGAGAGAATCGGCTCTTTTTCAAGAACAGCTGTGCCAGAACTATGGCTTGCCCAAGGTCATCTAGCAGGTGCAAGTGGAGGAGTGGGGAATCAAATCCAGTTCTCCCAGATTAGAGTCCGCGCACTTAACCAGTACACCAAACTGGCTTTCTGCACCAAACTCTACACCAAAGAATGAGAAGCTGATAAAAACGATGCAAATACAACACTGTATTTTTTTTAACAGGCAAAAGTAATGGCCAAGGAAGAGAAGGGGGGAAATAAATTTTATATTGTTCAAGGATCCCTGTGTGTTTGGCACGTGACTTTATGAGGCATATACAAAATCAGATTTTGGCATATATAAAATCAGATTTAAAATTTTTTTAGATATGAAGCATAAATATTACAGAGGGGTTGTGTTTGGCACGTGACTTTATGAGGCATATACAAAATCAGATTTTGGCATATACAAAATCAGATTAAAAAAAAATTTAGATATGAAGCATAAATATTACAGAGGGGTTGTGACTGTGGAGTCTTGTGAGCAAAAATTCTACCTTGTGAGCTGCTGGAATTAAAGTTGTGAGCGAGCGATTTGGCCGCTGCATGAATTAGTTTGCTCTGGAGCCATCCTTCCTGAGCGAAGACAAAAATGTGTGAGCCGGAGGCTAAAAAACTGTGAGCTAGCTCACACTAACTCAGCTTAGAGGGAACATTGGTTGGGATGCCAGCCACCAGGTGGGACCTGGGCATCCCTCGGAATTACAGCTCATCTCCAGACTACAGTTGTTAGTTCCCCTGGAGAAAAGGGATGCTTTGGAGGGTGGACTCTCTGTGGCACTGTACCCCACTGAGGTCCCTGTCCTCTCCAAGCTCCATTCCCAAATCTCCAGGAGTTTCCCAGCTTGCATCTGGCAACCCTATGCGCTCCCCCGCCAAGGGTGTCATGGCTTGGCCCACACAGAACACCGGGGGGGGGGGGGACACCTGACAACCCTATGGGGGTCGATTTCTATAAAAATACAAACTGAGCATGATGAAACTATATTACAAGACCCATACAAATATTTCGCCTTATCCAGAGGTAAAGTGATAGAGGCACTGGCCATCTGTTCTACCGCCTTATTCTGGTGGGAACACCCGAAGAGAGTGTAGCCTTACTGGTTGGTCATACTTAGAACTTTTGTAACTTAGGGAACTTTACTTCAATCTGGAAGTTCTGTTTGTGTCAATTTTGTATGGTTTTGTGACCTTGCGAGTAAGGCTAAAACAGCTCAGTCTGAATATACATAGGCCCGTTGCGTATGAGAACCTCAACCACTTCACCTCTGGATAAGACAAAGTATTGGTACGGCCAGGGGTCATTTCGTAGAAAAAGAGGTGCAGGAGCTCATTAGCATAACTCATTAGGACAACTTATTTGCATATGCCACACCTCCTACCAATGTTCCTTTTAAGCTGTGGCGTCTTGTGAGCAAAACTTCTACTTTGTGAGCTACTAGCATTAAAACTGTGAGCAAGCAGTTTGGCTACTGCATAAATTAGTTTGCTCTGGAGCCATCCTTCCTGAGCTAAGACAAAAATGTGTGAGCCAGAGGCTAAAAAACTGAGCTAGCTCACACTAAGTCAGCTTAGAGGGAACAGTGCAGCCCTGCCATCACCGGAAGTGTGTCAGAAAGTAACACCCACTGCAACTTACCTGGCTGCTTCTTGCTCCTCATGGCCCAGGGCTGCTGGGAGCAGGGGGTGGGGCTTGTTGCATGTGCCCGCCCCCTGGGCTCTTTACTGCCGGAGCTCTGCTCCTGTGCGCTCCTGCAGGAAATGGTCCCGGGGTTGGCTCCTATAAAATAGTTTAATTGTGCTCTTTTTATATTATTTTTTAATAGATATTGTCTGTCTTTGGGGTTTAGTTTTCTGTAATATTTACACTGCCCTGACCTGTCCTGGACGGCCCAGGCTAGCCCAATCTCGTCAGACCTCAGAAGCTAAGCAGAGGTGGCCCTGGTTAGTATTTGGATGGGAGACCATCCAAGAAGTAATTAATTAATTTAATTCATATGCCAGTGTGTGTAGTATAGCCAGGAGATCCTAAGATTGTCTGGCAGCCAGAAGTTCTAGCTCCTTTAGAGCTATGCACCACTAGGTGGCGAGCTAGACTTGTGTTTTTTTAAGGTGAGAGATGTTTGAGAGGTGGTTTGCCGTTGCCTGCCCCTGCGTCATGACCCTGGGATTCCTTGGAGGTCAGCCCTCCAAATACTAGCCGAGGCCCACCCTGCTTAGCTTCTGAGATCTGACGAGATCGGGCTATCCTGGGCCAACTAGGTCACAGCATATAAAGGAAGTACAGAGTCATGATGCAGAGGCAGGCGATGGCAAACCACCTCTGAATGTCTCTTGCCTTGAAAACCCCACAGGGCCACCTTAAGTGGGCTGCAATTGGATGCCACTTCCACCCCCAATATTTATCCTTGGTACTGAAAGGGTTTTTTTTTTTAATGTTTTTGTAAATGTCGTAGATCCCCTAAGGAAGCTCCGTGTAAAACACACAAGGATCCTTGAGTTAAGTGAAATTTCTTTTCCCTCCGCCAATCTCTTTTTCCCCTTTGATGCCTTGATTCTGCATTGCTGTGGCCCTATTTCTGAATTCCGAGCAGCCAAGCATAAAATACAGCTAAATTTACTGCTCTGTGAAATTTCATCCTTTAGTACTCTGGCCAGTCTCGTTCCTGACCTGATCCCTCATCTTACTAAACCTGACCGCCCATGCAATATATTGGTTGTGTGTATGTCAAGGGCCCTCGTTTCCAACTTATGGTGACCCTATGAATTAATTACCTCCATGTAGTGGTTGCTGTGTCGGATTAGAGACCCAGGTTCAGATCCCCCATGATCTTTGACAGGTGACCTTGGGCCAGTCAATCTCCCTCAGCCTAACCTACCTACCAGGGTTGTCATGAGGATACAGTGGAGGAGACTCAAGTGCACCATCCTTAAATCTTTGGATGCAACCAGTTGTAACAAGACTGCTGATCCAAGCCAGTTTGGTGTAGTGGTTAAGTGCCGGACTCTAATCTGGGAGAACCGGGTTTGATTCCCCACTTCTCCACATGCAGCTACTGGATGTCCTTGGGCAAGCCAGAGTTCTGTCAGAGCTGTTTTCTCAACGATAGTTCTCAAGAGAGCTCTCTCCGCCCCGCCTACCTCAATGGGTGTCTGCTGTGGGGAGGGGAAGGGGAAGGAGTTTGTAAGCCGCTCTGAGACTCCGAGTGAAGGGCAGGGTATGAATCCAATCTCCTCCTCCTCTTCTTCTTCCTTTATCCCCTCCCAGAACATATTTGCTTCACAGTCAGAGGCAGAGAGAGGGCCAAAGAAGACCAACCGAGGTTTACATACACACTGGGGGTTTGTTACTTAACAACTGGTAGACCAGGGCTCCCCAACCTATGTAAAATATACAGAAACAATGAAAATGTACAGTCATATACAATCCTGCAAACCCCAGTCAACTTTAAAGCAGAGAATGTGTCACGGGAACATCCCGGTTGGTTCCAGTTCCTCCGGCTTGGCTCATATGGAAATACAGCCGGCAAGCCATGGGACATTCCTTTGGGCTCACGCCAAATGCCAAGTCGAGGCCTTGAGTTACCTGCAAAAAAAAAAAGGGCAAATATCCACCCCAGGTTCTATTCAGCTGGCTCCAATGCTCCCAATTCTTTCCCTTCCTTCAGAATAAAGTATCCAGCAAGTACACGAAACCATGGTGAGGTAGACCCTCAGGTAGTGATTCTTTGGTGTGAGAACGTAAATGCTATGGTCTGTGGAACACGGGAGGGTGGGCAAGCGTTCCATTGTCCTTCCTCAGAATGTGTGGGTCGCCTTTTATCTATTTTTATTTGTTTAATTTATACCCTCCCTTTCTTTAAATTTTCTGGAATGCTTTATCTGTAATTTATTTATATATATACATATCTGTAAGCATATCTAGTCTAAGGACTGTAATAGAAATAAATTGAAACTATCCTGCCTTTCTCCCCAGTGGGGGCCCAAAGCAGCTTACAGCATCCTCCATTTTATCCTCACAACAATCTTGTGAGGTAGGTTAGGTTGAGAGTGTGTGACTGGCTTAAAGTCACCCGGCAAGCTTTCATGGCAGAGCAGAGATTTGAACATGGGTCTTTCATAGGGTTGCCAGGTCCTTACCTTTGGCTGGCGGGGGAGGGGGGGGCTTTCTGGGAGTGGGGGGGGGTGGGGTGACATTGCTACGCGTGACGTCCTCAACGTGACCGCTATATGACTATCAAGAACCACTAGCACTTTATTATGATTTTATATTTGTTTTAACCCCAACTATGTTTTAATGTATATCTGTTTTTATGTGAGCTGCCCTGAGCCAGCTTCGGCCGGGAGGGCGGGGTAAAAATCTGAAAAATAAATAAGTGATGTCATCAAGCCGAGACATTGTGCAGCAATGCTTTGGTTTTTGGGCAAACTCTATAGTAAAACTGGGCTCAAACCATAGAGTTTTGCCCAAAAACTAGAGCGTCGCCACATGATGTCCCCGGTATGATGACATCACTTCCGCGTGGTGTCATCACATTGGGGACGTCGCGTGGGGTCATCACTGTTGGGGGCAGGGCTTCCCCCACCAGCCAGCTGGCCAGCGGCGGACAGGAGTCTGTGAAATTGGGGGAAACCCCACTCCCGCCTGGAGACTGGCAACTTTTCAGATCCGAATCCAGCACTCTAACCACTACCCCACACTGCTGAGGCCCAAACGCTGCTGGTGACACCTTCTCCCCCACACTTTCCCCATCTCCCAGGACCTCGTCACTCCACAAACCGACACGTACACACCCCTGGAGCTCCCCAAAGTCGAACCGCGGGTTAAAGTCTCCAAAGAAGACCCAGTAGTGGAATAGGCGCTGCTGTTGCTTGCGGAAACCTTTTGACGGCATCTGAAAATCGCAAAACTGAGTTTGACGTGGGACGACCGTAGAGCGATCCTCGCTGGGCCTTTAGGAAAGACTCTGACCTCTTTTGTACTTTGGCTAACTGGATTTGAAAGGGGGGGCTTGCATATAGCTGCCACTGCTTGATCTTGGTCACCAGCAACCCATCCTTACTCTTAAGAATCTTGTCTATTTCCTTCATGGCTGCTCCTCCTGATTTCTTGGTTGCAGTCTCCCTTTTGGAAATGCAAATACTGGGACTCAAAGGTGGCATGCAAACACTTCAGAAGAACCATTAAAAAAATTAGAAGATCATGGTTAGCCTATAGAAGCAGCGGGCAAAGAGACATGGTTTATCTTCTACCTCCCGAAGGCCTTGCAAATTCCAGGGTGATAGCTCTGTTGGCTTGTTGCTTCAAAAGCAAAAAGGAGAGTCACAAACCTTTTAGGACAAACCGATGCACGGGAAGCATAATTTTCTAGATTCAGTTCTCGGTCGGCAGATATATAAGCACACAGAGGAAAAGCCACATAAGGAATATCTTATACCCTCTTGAGTTGAAAATGTAATGGTGCCACTTGCATCGCATGGACTTTTAATCTCCTCTGTTCATATGGTTTCTTCCCCACCGTGTGCATATCTGCTGATTAAGAATCCACCCCGTACATCGGACAAAGTGAGCTCTAGTGGTCTGCGAAAGTTTCAGTCACAATCAATCTGGTACTCTTCAAGGTGCCACAAAACCTCGCTTTGCAATTTTCCTAATGGGGACGGAGTTTTCAGGAAATTTGGTCAAATTGTCTTTCTCAAGGGGGACAGAACCTGGACGGTGCTTCTTAGCATCGCCTCAGATAATCATCTCTTGAGAGGAAGAAGAAGAGCAGGAGAGATGGGTAGCCGGGACCTGAAAGGTTCATCGTTTCCTCCTTGACCACACTGCATCGAACTGAAGCCATTTTGCAAAGGAGAAAGTATGCCAAGCCCAGTGCAGATCGCACTGTTTCTAAGGCATCATTACTGGTGCACGAATGGGATTTGTGTATTCTGAAAGAAACTGAGAGTGCTCTATTAAGATGAATTTGCTTAATCTGTGCAATTCTCTTAACTGAGGGTATCTGGACTGCCTCCTCCCATACAGTCCAGACCACCAATTAAGATCGGTCTCCCCAGCTCTCCTCGCTCTCTGCCCCCTACCTGCAGTGGGTGGCAACAAAAGATAGGGCTTTTTCAGTGGTGCCCCCCACCCGGCTCACCTGGCGCCTATCCTACTTCTTTATTTATGGCATCGGGCCAAATAATTTCATTTACCCAGGTTTTTAATTAAGGCGTTGATGTCTGGTTCCAGCCTGAACACTGTTATATGAGAATCAGTTTAGGCTGCTAAATAGGTCTGGGGACAGGGGATACCCTGCCCTCAGGTCCCCTTGCCCCCCCAAAAACAGCCTTGTATACTCACCAAAAGTTCATACAGGAAGTGATAAACTGTAGCTCTAGGAATTGCCTTTATGTTTTTCTTCCACAGAGTGATTTCCAGTGATTTCTAGAGCTGCCCTTTGTCACTTCCTTATGAACGTCCATTAAGTGCGTAAGACTGTAGGTTTTATTTTTTATTTTTTGACGCAATGCTTTGCCACTCCCTACCCTCCCGCTTTTTGCTGTTTTTATGCTTTGGCTGGGGTTTTGATAGTTTGTTTTTAACCATTTTAAGCTGTTTTATTATTGTATCCTGTTTTAATTTGTAAGCTGCCTCAAGCAGGTTCCCTGAAGAGGCAGCATAGACTTTTTCTAAATAAACAGATTACTTCTGCTGATGAACATGTGAGATTTTTTTGCTTTTGATGCCTATGCACAGGGGGCACATGTTCAGAAATTCCTGGAGATGTGGGGATGCAGCCTCAGGGTGGCGAGGTTTGGGGATGGGAGGGACTTCAGCAGGGTATCATGACATACATTCAACCTTCCAAAGCAGCCATTTTCTCCAGAGGACACATTTTTGTAGTCTGGAAATCAGCTGTGCTTCCGGGAGATCTTTGGACCCTGCCTGGAGGTTGGCAACCCAAGCCACAGCTGTCTCCTCCTCTCCTTTGAGGGACCAGCGGATGACTTAAACCCCAGAAGGGTCTCCATTCTGGGTCAGAACCAATACTCCCTCTAAGCTGTGAGCAAAATCTCTGCTTTGTGAGCTGCTGGCATTAAAGTGGTGAGCGGGAGATTTGGCTACTGCACAAATGAATCTGCTCTGGAGCCGTCCTTCCTGAGCGGAGACAAAAATGTGTGAGTCGAAGGCTAAAAAACTGTGAGCTAGCTCGCACTAACTGAGCGTAGAGGGAACTCTGGTCAGAACCTTGCACTAAATGACTTCCTCATGGTATAAACGCCACTCTCACACGGCTGCACCAAAGAGGAGTGGAAAAAGACGAACGCTGCAACTTGGATTTATCTGATAGATACTTCCCTGCAGTCAGTTATGCGCACGCTGCCCCATCAAGATAATGGTCTCACACAGGAAGAACAGAAAGGGAGGCGGTAGCGGTGGAGTCAGATGAAGGCAGAGGATGGCTGGGCGTGAGTCATTTCCCTTGGTTTTGTGCAGCTTTATCTGAATGTGACAATGACCCTCGCTGAAGAGAACAAACCTCAGCACGTGTGTGGCCTGGCCTTACTCTAGTCGATCTGGAGACAAAATTCCACTGCATTTAAAGTGCCCCCTTCCTCTGAGCACAGGTGAAGTTCACCTTACCCTGTTTTTCTTTTGTTTCACGGTAGAGTCTGGTCCTGGAATCCCCAACATGGCGCCCGTGGATGCCATAGTGCCTGCCAACACCTTTCTTGGTACCCGCCAAGTTTTTTTAGAAACTGGGTGGGGTCAGGTGGGTCTTTTGCCCAGCAAGACTTCTGATGGGCCACTGGAGGTATGATTGACTATGCAGATTTTTTAAAATGTTGCTCTGGTAGCAGCTGTTACCACAACACAAGTTTTTTCACTGTGTGACTGAAGGTAAGCTGTGGTGGCCATTTTGTGGCTGCGCCCACTGCACTATGTCTGGATTCCAAAGGTGCCTACAGGCTCAAAAAGGTAGGAGACCCCTGGTCTGACCAAACAAGGAACAATATTAAAAAATCCCTGCTCCTGAGAATCAAAAATGGGAACAGTTTAGCAGCACAAGCAGGGATCCCAGAACCGGCAACCATGAGGCAATGCAAGTTAGGACGGTGGTCAAGGTATTAATTAAAAAATATTTAAGTTTTTAATTAGATACTTCAATGATAGCTGGGCTCAGTATTCCAAACCCCAAAAGTAGTCTCAAAGTGCCCTCATGACCGATAGATTTCTTGTGACGGAAGCCTCCGTGAACAAGAGTCCTCTTCGTAGGCTTGCCAAGTCCCCCCGGGGGGCGGGGAAACCCTTGCCCCAGAGGCCCGTTCCCTGCCGCTGGTGGATCGGGCCCCAGGGGGAACTCCACCCTGACGTGCACGTCACCCGGAAGTAACGTGACGATGCCGAGAACGCTGGGGGCGGGGCCACGGCCATCCGAGGGAAAACTATATGGTTTTCCCTCGGATGGTTGTGGCCCCGCCCCCAGCGTGCCCGGCGTCATTACGTCACTTCCGGGTGACACGCGTGCGCGCACTCCTGGAACAAGCCGGGAGTCCCCCGCTCCGGATACAGGTAACACTTGGCAACCCTACCTCTTCGTCACCTCCGTGAACAAGCCGTGAAGTATCTGATGAAGTGTGCACGCACACAAAAACTTTTAAACTTTAAACTAAAATTAAATTGTGGCTCTTAAAGATGCCACTGGACTCAAACTTTGTTCTATCCCCATGAAGTGTTATCCTCAGTTAGTAGATCTATATCCACACACGTACACACCTTTAGCTCAGAAGAAAAAATGAAGCTTAACAGCAGCTACAGTCAATACTTTTGCGCTTTGCATAGAAAATTCCAACTGTGCTTCTTCCACTAGCCACTGCGGTATTGCAGTTAGGGCATTAAGACTAGGACTAAGTAGAATCGAATCCCACATCCAAATGGTATAATGACTAGGAATGCAGACTCTAATCTGGGAGGACCGAGTTTGATTCCCCACTCCTCCACATGCAGCTGCTGGTGTGACTCTGGGTCAGTCATAAGTTATTCCAGAGCTGTTCTCTCGAGAGTTGTTCTTGAAAGAGCTCTCTCAGCCCCACCTACCTCTGTTGTGGGGATGGGAAGGGAAAGAAGATGCTTTGAGACTCCAAGTGAAGGGCAGGGTATAAATCCAATCTCTTCCTCTTCTTCTTTACCACAAAACTGTCTTGATGACCTCTGAGACCCCTATGTAGGGTTGACAACTGGCCTAAAGAAAAATATCCTGTCATTTTAAGAGAAGTTTGATGTTGGAAATGGGCAGTTCAAGCTTTGGCATGGAAGAAAAGAAGATCATATTACATCTCTATCACAAGGACATTTTTCTCCGGCTTGTTGGCACTTTTAGTCCAAAAAGATCGTTGTCTTTCTAGACTTAATTACAACTAAGCAGTGGGTCCAATACCTGAGTAGGTGTGCAGAAGAACAGTCAGAAACTTCTATTCAAAACATTTAAAGGTGTATAATTACAGTTGCCAACTCCAGGCTGTGAAATTCCCTGAGATTTGGGGGGGGGGAGCCTGGGGAGGCAAGAGACCTCAGCGGGGTACAATGCCATCCTCCATTTTCTCCAGGGGAACTGATCTCTGTGGTATGGAGATATAATTCCAGCTATCCAGGCCCCACTTGGAGGTTGGTTGCCTCTGACAGGCAGTTGGATCTGCCTCAGCCCCCGTAGGGATGCCAACCTCCAGGTGGGGCCTGGGGATCCCACGGAATTACAGCCCATCTCCAGACTACAGAGATCAGTTCTCCTGGGGGAAAGTGGAAGCTTTGGAGGGTGGACTCGATGGCATTATACCACACTGAGGTCCCTGTCCTCTGCAGGCCCCATCCCCAAATCTCCAGGAGTTTCCCAGTCTGGATCTGGCAACCCTACCTCCCCTATCCCCCACCGCCAGTGGTCAGGGCAGGGGGACCTGGCAACCCTATCTGCCCGTGAGAACCATAATTATTACTATTATTATTAAGTGTATTATTGTTAGCAATAACACACTTAAATGCTTTATAAACACTGATACTAGTAATTGATAAAATAACGAGTAATAAAAACTAATAATACTGCCTGCAATATACGAAAGTAAATAATTCAGCTGAATTGAAGCACTGCTTAGGGGGAGAGGCCCATCTCTGGTCCACACGACGTCATTCCCCTCCTGGCCCATAAAACAAGAAACGAAACTAGAACCATCCTTATGTAGTTTTGCATCCTTAGCTACCCACGCCAAACAGAAAAGAAACTTGCTTCCTTTGAAGATTGTGAGGTCCTAGAGCGGCCGCCCCCCCATAAGTTCCGGAACTTAGCGGAAGTTCAACCCGGATATGTTCCCCCCCAACTCTGAGCTTTGGCCACTATTACCCCTTCAACCTCCGGGAAACGGAACAAGGTGTTCTCAGACCGGAAGTTTCCTCGTCTATCTCCCGCCCCGCACCGGAAGTCTCCGAACTCGCTTCTGCGTCTTGCCTCTGGGGGGGGGGCGCTTCCCCTCCCCCGCCCCGCCACGCTGTTACCGTCGCTACGGCAACGAGCGGAAGTGGCGTCGCCCTCAGTTCGGAAGTGACGAAGAAGGGCAGGGAGGGGGGAGAGTGAGAGAGAGAAGCTGCTTCTCCGGCGGAGCGGAGGTGGCCTGAGCGGGGCCGTCCGAGCCATGTAAGCCGCGGGGGTGGGACGCTGGGAGGGGCGCGCCAGGAGGGACGTGAGGGGGCCAATTGGGAAGCGAGGGAGCAGGCGGTGCTCAGTCAGGAGGGGGGGGGGAACCCGGCTGGGGTCTCAAGTGCCTGCGGGCCCTGCGCCTTTTGTTTCCCAGGGGTTGCCGGGAAGGCACTCTGCACTTGCTCAGGGGGCGCTCTCCCCCTCACCGTCTCCTCCTTTGGAAGCTCACTGGTGGGCCTCCTGAGGGCACCTGGTGTTTCTGGCCACCGTGTGGTGGAGTGCTGGACTTGGTAGGCCGTTGGCCTGATCCAACATTGGCTTCTCTTATGTTCTTACAGGCTGAGACTGCCTGGTCCAGGGCCTTGGCGTGCAGAAGGCCCCGGGTTCAAAAGCCGACTTCTCCAGTTGACAGGACCAGGCAGTAGGTGGTGTGAACGACCCCTCTACCTGGGACCCTGGAGAGCCGCTTGCCAGTCCGAGTAGACAGTATAGCCTTTGGTAGGCTGAATGGTCTGGCTCCATGGAAAGGCTCTTCATAGCTGCGGTCACACATACGAAATAATCCACTTTCGATCCAATTCCAATGCACTTTCTAGCTGGATTTTGCCAGTTCACACAGTAAAATCTAGTCGGAAAGTGCACTGAAAGTGGATTATTGACTGCAGCTTGTATGTATCTTTTTATCCTGCCTTTTCTCAAATAAGCTCATTATGTGATCTTTTAATAGTTCTGAGTTGGTTGAGGGCATTCCTTTTTCTTTGCTTTGTACATGGCCGTCCCTTAATGAAAGACAATGCCCCTCTGCTCCCACATTGGGTACCTTTGTGGATCACAATTATTAATGTTTTAAAAATAAGGCTTGGCATGATGCTTCTTTCCACATGTTTTTATTCTCACATCAGCCCTGTGAGGGAGTTCAGGCTGTGAGTGAGTGACTGGCCCTCTCGGCAAGGGGACATGGCCTAGTAGGGACTTACTTAAAGCTGTTACCCTCAGTTGTGGTACTGTGCTCTACCCATGACATTACCCTGCTCCAACCCTGAGCATGTGTTTTACCTGGAAATGAGCACTATTGAATTGGAAAAACAAAAAAGGAGTCTTGTAGAGCTAGTTTCAGAGGATAGCTGTGTTGGTGTGCAGTAGGGCAGTTAGATTTGGGTCCAGGAGCACCTTCGAGAGCAACGAGAGTTTCAAGAGTCAAAGCTCCCTTGTCTGCTGAAGGTAGCTTTGACTCTCGAAACCTTATACCCTGAAACTCTTGTGGAGCCTAATGAACTCACAGGTTTGTTATGACAGAAACTGTCGTGGAATAGAGGCCAGATAGAAAAATGTTGTGGGGCTTGATTTAGAGTGAATGTACACAAGGACGTTAGGTCATGATTAGGTGAGTCAGGAAGTACCTGCTTTAATCTTGCCTTGCAGGTGAAAACAGGATTAAAAGACAGCGCAACAGTAAATCCTGAGCGTTTGAAAAGTGTGTAAACATATGCATGACCACAAATCCATGAGAGTGTTACAGACATGATGGCAGGTAGAATACATACTTGAAGTCTGGTAGTTTTGGAGTGTCGTATGCACTTTCATTGTAAGGCCTGTGTTTCCAACTATGCATTGCACCTGGAGGACATTTGTAACATTCTCATGGATTTGTGGTCCTGGATACGTTTATGTGCTTTTCACATGCTCAGGATTTACTGTGTTTTATTATTCCTTTTAATTCTGCTTCTAGTGGCAGGAAATTTATGCTTTTAGATCCCCCTGAAGAAATGTAGGCAAAACATGTAGGAGCAATATATTTGAATTAAACAACCCTTTCCCCCCCACTTCACCATTTTTGTTGTTCTCTTCCTCCCTCTTTGGTGCTGCCCTGTTCTCCTGTATTTTGGATCTTCCTTTGGCCATGAGCTCAGTAACTGCTTTTAGGGAAGCCAACCTCTCAGCCTCACCTCTCTGTTGACATTATGCAGATAGCAATACAGATCTAATTTACGGGATGCTTGTGAGCATCGCTACAAGAAAACACACACGAAACACTTGGCACACCGCAAAGTGCCATAGTATTCTAAATGCCGTTACTTCTAGCTGGCTGCTTCTGGATCCAACGTAAGGCCTAACAGCAAGCAGAGGTTTTTACACCCCGCTTTTTTCTACCTCACGGCGTCTCAGAGCAGCTTACGATCACATTCCCTTCCCCTCTCCACAACAGGCACCTTGTGAGGTAGGTGGGCCTGAGGGAGTGTTGAGGAAACTGTGAGTGGCCCAAGGTCACCCAGCAGGATAATTGTGGAGGAGGAGTGGGGAATCAAACCTGGTTCCCCAGATTAGAGTCTGCTGCTCTTAACCGCTATCCCACGCTGGCTCCCAAGAAGGTTTGTTGAGGTTCTTACTTGTTGCTTTAATCAGGCCAGTGTTACCGTAGGCCCCCCCCCCCCCTTCAGCGTGTTGATGACAACCACTCAGTGGGATACCCTGTCTCCTACTGCAGCCTCCCAGAATTCCAAGCCTGAGCCTCTTTCAGAAACGCCATCAGACCTTGCCAGTTTAGACTACCATTTGAGGTTCCAAGTTAAGCTGGGAAAGGGGTGGAGAAATGTAACTGAATCAGGTGGAACTTTGTCGTCTGTTGGTAAGTGGCAAGTAGACTATAAATCTGAATCAATAAATACTGGCTGACAGTCTGGTTATTTGGACAATGGCATGTATCCTGTCACTCCACTGAGAAGAATTTATGGCCTTCCTCCAGGCAAAGGAACTGTCTCCCATCTTAAAGGGCCAGTTTGGTGTAGTGGTTAAGAGTGGACCCTAATCTGGACAACTGGGTTTGATTCCCCACTCCTCCACAACACAGCCAGCTGGGTGACCATGGGTCAGTCCCAGCTCTCTCAGAGCACTCAGCCCCACCTACCTCACAGGGTGTCCCTTGTGGGGAGAGGAAGGGAAGGTGACCGTAAGCCTCTCCGAGACTCCTTTGGGTAGTGAAGGGTGGGGTATAAAACCAGCTCTTCTTCTTCTTTCTCTGACAGAAGAAATACTTAATTTGAAGGAAAGAGCCTTAGGCTGGAGGAACTTCCTCCAGCCTCAAGGTAAATAACACGTCAATGGATGTCAAATGCTCTGGTTGATTATGAACATATGAAGCTGTTTTGTTCACAGCCTGAGCCGTTTGTCCATCTAGTTCAGTATAGTCTTCTGTGACTGGTAGCTGTTTTCTAGGACTTCAGGCAAAATAAAGCCTCCGAATTGGAGGTGGTACGGATTGAACTTGGAGTGTTTTGCACACAAAGCAAAGGCTCTGCCGCTGAGCCACAGTGGAGGTGGGCTGTATACATGCTGCATATTGGGAAGGTTGGACGAGAAACGAGGATGGGCTCCAAAGAGGATCCGAAGATTTCCTGGATTTCTTTCCCCCCAGGCGTCGCAGCAAATGGGATCAGCCTGGGCCGTCTCCGGCTCTCTTCCTCCTTCCAGCCACGACCCCCGTGGCCGGCCGGCCTGTCCAAGGCAGCGGAGACGGAGTGTCTGGGATGTCGGGGTCTGAGGGCTCCGCAGCCCCTTTGGGGGCCCTGGATGCAGCCGCCGCGGTGGCAGCAAAGATCAATGCCATGCTAATGGCCAAAGGGAAGCTGAAACCGTCAACCAATTCGACGGACAAGGTCAGTGACCGATGGGAGGAAGGCGTGGGCAAGAAGTAAGTCACTGGAGGACGGGAGAGAAAGGAATCTTCCTAATTTGTGAGAAGCGTGGGGCTGAGGACTTAAGATTCATTCACACACAGCTTACTGGGTGATGGCTCAAATCTTAATTGAAATGTTGATGCATCTGAGCTGTCTCTGGGTGGGGATGAAAGTAATCCCTCACATGCATAACAGTGAATTCTCCTCATGTAAGATTTCTGTTGATTCCCCGCCCCCCCCCCAGTGCAGACCAGCACACTGCATCTTACACATTTCCTAAAAATAATGCCCCACTGACCCTCCCAGGACTGCATCTTAGGGAGTACAGTGAGAGGCTGTGGGGATGTTCAGTTCTCTGAGCCATGCTCAGCTCATGATACAGAGTAGGGGTCCCCAACGTGGTGCCCGTGGGCGCCATGGTGCCTGGTGACACCTTTCCTGGTGCCCAGAAAGTGGGTGGGGCCAGGTGGTCTTTTGCCCAATAAGGCTTCTGATTGGCTGTTGGAGATTTGATTGACTGTGCAGATTTTTTTTTTTAATTGCTTTGGTAGCCGCTGCCACCAGAGCACAAGGATCTTCACTGTGTGACTGAAAGTAAGCTGCGGCAGCCATTTTGTGGCTGGTCCACCTCCTCTGACAGTCATTTTGAGGCAGCCGTTTTGTGCTGGACCCACCACAGTGTCTCAGAAGTCCAGTTGTGCCTGCAGGTTTAAAAAGGCTGGGGACCCCGATATAGAGCTTTTCACCCCATTAATGCTAGTCAGTAGATGCTGAACCTCCATGCTGAAAACAGTACACAGAGTTAGAAGGCCACTCTGACTTCTAGTCCCCAAAATAGGCTCATCTCCCCTGCACCCCGAGGCACAAAAAGCCATTTTTTTCTGGATGACAATGTTCTTTTGAAGTTTGGATTAGTAGCCAAAACTCTGCCTTGCCGGACTAGGTTACCAAAGAGACAGAACCTTTGTACTGCATTCCTCTCCTTCTCTTTGGATGTTAGAAAGTCTAGATTAATAAAAGAGGTTATCTGAAGAAGTGAGCAGTGACTCATTTATTTATTGATTTGTTAGATTTATATCCCACCCTCCCTGCCGAAGCAGGCTCAGGGCGGCTTACATAAAGTGTTAAAACAGTTTAAAACATACAAAACATATACAATATAAAGTGCTATACAAAAATTCCTGTGCAGTGGTGACCAAATCCAATATTTTCCATAACAGGAATCAGTCAGTACTAACATAGCTGATGGAAAAAACCCAGGGAAGGCTCTGATGTGATGTCCAGATGTTAAATGTGGTCAAATGGCTGGTGGAAAAGCTCCATCTTGCAGGCCCTACCTGCAAAGCTCATACCCTATGTTACGGGCAGCGGGTAGGAAGCTTCACTACTGCTGCCACCACTCTGGTATGGGTCTCCTTGGAAGGGCCCAGAGCACCCACCCTACCCCTTTTTACAGTACTTCTACAACAGGTTTCTCCTTGTACGTAACCAAAGGAGGCATGAGGACCCAGGCAGAGTAACAGCTAGACTGAATTAATAGAACTTTAGATTAATAACAAGTAAAGGCAGGTAAATCAGTAAAATAATAAATCCTAATGTGTCTGTCTACACAGTCCTTGCCTTCCCTAGGTGCCGTTTCCCAGTCTGACTCACCCCTTTTGGATGAGGGATCCCTCTGTCTGCAGCCACGTCCCTCAGCTCTGTTGCCTGAGAGAGAACACGCTCCCACTCTGACTAAGGCCTTTTGTCTCCTTTCTCCAGGCACCCCGCCGTCTGTTCCCCTGCTGATGTAGTTTTCCCTCCAAAATCTCCTTTTACCCTATCACAGGGTCCAGAGGAAACCTAGGAAATGTAGGCCCTGGTGACTACTCCCACGCAGGCTTGCTTTTGTTATTTACTTGATCGTTTCTGTAATAGTTATGGAGCACCTGGTGAACAACCAGTGGTCCGTAAACTATTCCAATTGTGTGTTGCGGGCTCTGTTTGCCTGTAATTTGTAACAATTCATCTGCACTTCTCTCCTCTCACAGCTCCAAGCTCCAGGGAAAGGCCCAGCCACAAGTAAAAGCAAAGACGACCTCGTTGTAGCAGAAGTGGAAATCAATGACGTGCCCCTGACGTGCAGAAACCTCCTGACCAGAGGACAAACTCAGGACGAGGTCTGTCGTTCCGGTGGTTCTAATCTTTTGGGTCTTGCAATTAACTTTCCTTGAGGTCTTTATGCAGGAGGTCTCATTGAATCAATAACAGAACAAAGTTTGAGTCCAGTGGCACCTTTAAGACCAACAAAGTTTTATTCTGGGTGTAAGCTTTGATATGTCCGCACACGAAAGCTTATGCCCAGAATAAAACTTGGTTGGTCTTAAAAGTGCCATTGGACTTAGACGTTGCTGCGGTGGCTCAAGTGGTTAAGACGCGGAACTGCAGGCTGTGGAAGGTCAGTAGTTCAGCAGTTCAAGACCCGAGTGTGCCGCATGACGGAGTGAGCTCCCATCTCTAGTTCCAGCTCCTGCCAACCTAGCAGTTTGAAAGCAAGAAATTGCAAGTAGATAAATAGGCACCACTTCAGTGGGAAGGTAACAGCATTCCGTGCGCCTTGGTGTTTAGTCATGCCGGCCACATGACCACGGAAACGTCTTCGGACAACGCTGGCTCTTCGGCTTGGAAATGGAGATGAGCACCGCAACCCTAGAGTCGGATTCGACTGGCTTTCGAGCGAGGGAACCTTTACCTTTACCTTGCTCTGCTGCTTCAAACCAACACGGCCACTCACTTGAATATATCAATAACATTTCCTCCCATCTGACCAAGGGAACGTTGACTCTTAAAAGCTTATACTCCAAAAAACGTATTGATCTTTAAGATGCTAATGGACTCGAATCTAGGTGATTTACTCCCAGTTTTTTGTGCGTAGGATGACAGCATAATTGGCACAAAACTGCAGTCCTAATCTCATCTGCCTGGGAGCAGGTCCATGGAATGTGAGGGGTCTGGTTTCCAGTGTATTATGGGCAGGGTGTAACTTGAGAGGTTTTCTTTGGGGATGCCTCCCTAAAACAGCTGTCCTTGCCTCTTTTAGAGGCTGATAAAGATAATGTAAAGGTTTCCGTTCTGCTTCAGATTTCTGCTCGATCTCAGTTTTCCGCAAGCCAAATCCCATTGCATCGTTTGTCGGATGTCCCATCCTGGTGATCGTATTGACTTGCACAGTGTAATCCATCTTGAGTCTCAGTGAGAAAAGCGGACTATAAATAATGTAAATAAACAAGTTTAGACGTTCCTGTTCTGCTTTTCATTTGGTGCTGCGGTGGCTCAGTGGTTAAGACACTGGTCTGCAGGCCTGAAGGTCAGTAGTTCAGCAGTTCGAGACCCGAGTGCCGCGTGACGGAGTGAGCTCCTGTCTCTGGCCCCAGCTCCTGCCAACCTAGCAGTTCGAAAGCAAGAAATTGCAAGTAGATAAATATGTACCGCTTCAGTGGGAAGGTAACAGCATTCCGTGCACCTCGACGTCTAGTCATGCCGGCCACATGACTGCGGAAATGTCTTCGGACAGCGCTGGCTCTTTGGCTTGGAAACTGAGATGAGCACCGTAACCCTAGAGTCGGATTTGACTGGCTTTCGAGCAAGGGAAACCGTTACCTTTATTATGCTTTTCAGCCCAAAGAACCGACAGGTTTTTTTTTTAAAAGTACTTAAAATCAATGTAATGCAAAGATTAACAGCAGGAAAAGTACAGTTCAAAATCAGCACCCACCAGCAGATCAAACAAAGGGGGAATCAAAAGAAAGAATACCTGGCAGTTAAAACTACTGCATTCAAAAGCATTTTGGAAGAACATGGCTGTGTTAAGTTAAAAAAACCCAAAATACACTCCCCAAAGACACTAAGTCAAAATATCAACTATGCAAGTAAATATTCAACGTGATAGAAAAATGGTATCCCAATAATGACAACATTTACAATATAGAAAATATATACAAAAGTCCAAATCGGGCGGGTGGGCGGAGCTAGCGGTGCATGGTGCACGCTTAATCTCGGAGCTCCTGTCCCCTTCTCCCGTAATTCAACTTAAAATCTATCTTTAAACGCCTACATGCCGAAGAAAAACGTATACAAGGCTACTGGAACTCCCTCGAGAGGGAAAAACGCTGAAACGAAATCGGTACGTACCTTTTTTACCACTATTGACCCTGAAGAACTTTTTGCCCCCGACCTCTCTGGACTGCCTAAAATGGCGCCTGACTCCAGCCCTTCTGACTCCGCTGATTCATTAACGCGCAAGGACTTAACTGATTTAAAAACTGATTTGCTTGACTCGATGACAAACATAGTATCGAAACTACTTCAGCCGCTTCAAAATTCCATTCAGGAGATGGCCAAGGAGATTGCGGAGGCAGCGAAAGTGGCCGAGAATGCAGCCGAAATGGCGCTTGCTACGCATGACGAAATTCGGTCCCTGCAAACTTCGGAAACTCAAATGCAAACTAGAATAGCCTCCTTAGAAAATAAATGGCGCCAATACAATTTAAAATTTCGTGGGTTTGAGGAGGGGGCAGAGGAATCTCAAGACTTGGCAGTGTTTATGTCGTCCTGGCTTGCAAAAATCCTACAACTTGAAGGCGGAGTGGCCCCGGCCATAGCTAAGGCACAGCGGCTGGGCCCACTGGCTCTAGCGCGAAGAGGCAAGCCTAGAGACATTCTTGTACAATTTATTTATCTTCGCTCAAGAGATAAAATTCTAAAAGTAGCCCGACAAAAGGACTCTCTTATGTTTGGAGAAAGTAAGATTTTGGTCCTGATGGACTTGGCTCCGGAAGCACTGGCAAAAAGACGCAAGTTTAAACCTGTAACGGCAAAGTTGCACGAAGCAAAGATCCGTTTTAGATGGTCTCCTACTTCAGACATCTTGGTCTATAAAAATGGTTTGCTGCACCAAGCCTCAGACGGAATGACGGGAAAAGCTCTCCTATCTACTTTGGGATTAAAACTTTCACCGGCTGAAGAAGAAGAATTGTTAAAAGAGGGAACTAATCTATAACTTGTGTTATTTGATTTCTCTTACAAGTGTACTGTTCATAAGAGGTAGCATGACAAATTTAATGTCATTGCAATGGCCAGATAATTTATCTGTGTAAAGAAGGTTTGATGTTTCCATCAGTGGCAGTATATGTTAACTGTTCTGATTAAGGCTAATTATTACTTTATTATAGTTAGGAAATGCAAAAATTTCCATGGTGGTATAAACTATTCAGTTTTATATTTTAGGCAAAGAGGTATTTGCTCCTTAATAATCCAGAGGTTTTCTTTTTATATGGTATATTGAAGCACTTGGTTTGTAACTAGGGTCTTTAATTTTATAACAACATATTAATCCCTGTTAATCCTATATAAATAACGCAGGCAATGAAGTAATTGCGGCTTCACTACATATGGGGCCTCAGGCCTTTGTTCTTTTCTTTCTTTTTTTCTTCCCCCTTGTTTCTTTATTTATGTTGTCCTTTTTCTGTGTAGAGCAATGGAGTAATTGCTTTATATAAACTAATTCTTTTTATAAGGTAGAGAATTAAATCTACTTAGAATGTATATCAATTTTGAATTTTATGTGGATTCAGACTGTATGAACATATTGCAAAGTTAAATTTCTATTGTTATTATAATTAAAATCACTTACTTTATAATTACTTTTAATTCAGGGATACAACTGTTGGTAGTACAGTTAAAACTATGTAAGGGAGAAGGGAGACGGGTAATATATACAGAAAGAGTATAAAAACACCCACACCTGGAAGGTGAGAGATAGGTAAGTGGTCCAACAGGAGTGCCTATGCAATAGCACTCCTTTTTCCTGACCTAAATTAGGCCAGGAAATAAAGACACTAACCCTAATTGAGGGTTTATCTATTTATTTAATTTTGTTGTTGATTTATTGTTAGTGTTGTTGGTAGTTAAAAGGAAGCAATATGCAGCAAATCCAAGTAGCAACATGGAATGCTCGTGGTCTAAATGACAGAATTAAGGTAAAAAGAGCCTCAAACTACTGGGAAAAACAAAAAGTGAATATTTTGTGTATACAGGAAACCCATCTAAAAAATGCATCTTTCCCTGTCCTAAAAACAAAATGGTTTCCACAACAGTTCCAGGCAAAGGGGTCCTCAAATGCAAGGGGAACAGCAATTTTAATCTCCAAAAATCTTCCTTTTCAATTTAAACTAACAATTGGGTGTATTTATGCCCCTAATACAGAACAAATGGAGTTTACTAGACAAACAATGATGAAACTATTGAAATTTGGTGTAGGGGACTTGATAATTGGTGCAGATCTTAACTACATTGTGAACCCTAATATTGATAAAAC